GGTAGTGATGTGCTACTATTCCGTTAGTTCGTGAGTAGTCTTTCAGAGATCGCTTTTGACTGATTTGCAGAATTACCCAATGACTCGGTAAAGACATTTGCAGAAATGGAAAACCTTTTTGTCAGACGATTTGTCAGAGCTCAGTACCATGTCACCATTGGTGATCTCGTGGTCGAGCAACAGAAACCGACTGAGACATTAGTAGATTATATCCTGCGATGGAGAAACCTCAGCACAAAGTGCGAACAACAGCTTCAAGAGCAACATGCAATCGAAATTCTGCTACAAAACATCCATGGTTTAGTAGGTTTCTTACTGAAGGGACTTACTATCAAAACTTTTGAAAAGCTACTTAGCAAAGCCGCATCCCTGCAAAAGGAGACCAAACAACTTAAGTTCTTGGAAAGGGCGAACGAGTTGAAGCCAACAAAGACATCTGAAAGGAGATCAGAGATAGTGACAACAGTTAACAGGGTTAAGCAACCGATGCAGATCCATATTAAGCCGCCGCGACAGATCTACCAACATCAACAACAATTCAACCAACAACATAGTCGACAGTCACCCCAGCAGAATCCATACTCGATGGATGGAAGGCATGGTCGATCTATGGCCGAACTGTTAAACAAAGTATATCCCTTTATGGATGAAGCAATAGCGAAGATGTTTCAGAATTTGATTGAGAAGTCCGTGTTCAGATTGCCCAAGCTAAAGAAACCGGCGAAAGTCAACAAGAAGAATCATCCCAACTATTGCCCATATCATAGAATGCTTGGGCACACCATTGAAGGCCGTATCAATTTCAAAGAGTGGCTCGAGAAGAATTTCAAATGTGGGAACATAACGATCCTGAAAGAATATTTGACAGGGCCTGAAGGAGGTTCCATCAATATGATTTCGGTCGATCCCATTGTCCCAATTGATTCCTTGCAACTGATGCCGAATGGAACACAGTTCAGGTGAAAGCTTCAGAGGAAAAGAGCGAACCAGATTTAAACAGTTTCAGTACAGACTAGAACGTAGAATTGGAGACCTTCCCCCTATTAGGAGATAGTAGGGTTTATCTTTTGACTACTACCATCAGTGTAATGGGGACTTTAGGAGGATTGATGTTACTATGTTAAATCCCTTCCACCGCAATGAATGAAAAAAAAAGAAAGAGTTAGTTGTTATCCAAAATTGTTCAATACTTGGAAAACTCATCACTCTAAAAGAAAAAAATTGGATGTTTTGATAAGATTATGACTTCAGAGAAAAATGAAATTAATGCACTAATAACTGAGTCCTTCACTTTAAAGAATTCAGACTGAGTCCTAAATAGATTTCAAAATGAAACATTGTGTTTGAAATACGAGTAATTGACTCGGGATATCACGAGTCTTTTAATTTTAATTTCCTGCCATAATTTCCTGCCATGTGACTGAGTCCTGACTTTTGAATGAGTTATAATATCTCAGAATTTGTCTTAAGAAATCTTTGATGATTATTAGTCAAGAGAGTTTGGACATTCAAAATCCTTAAAAGAAATATGCTTCACCAGATATAGTAATTAAAAAAAAAACAAAGGGAGCAAAGAAAAACAGTTAAAAAAAATAGAAAAAGAGAAAAAGATTCTATGAGAAGCTTGATCCAAAAAATCATAATAAAAGAAGAATCTCCCTGAGAAGAAGCTTGAGTTGGACGTATAACCAAAAATTAGTGTTTGAATTCTCCCCTAATTGATAAGACTCGAAATGTTCTTTTAAGAAAGTTCTTCTGATATTATATTCAAGAAAATATTAAGTGTTCGCGAGTTTTTAGGTTGGCTATTAATTGACTCAGAAATATCCTTGGGAAATGAAAAATGTTTTAGTCACATGAGCATAAATTCTGAAATTTGCATAGGCCCAGGAATAAATAATTAAAGAAATGACGATGATATTAACAATTAATGAAAATTCAACCCTGAAGTCGTATTCTTCAACGCTAGCAAATACAACTCCAACTACAATTCGAAGAACGTCAGAGCGACTTCTCAAATGCAGCTTGAACAACCTTTACAGAATCAATGTCGAAGCAAACGACAACTACTACAGATGAAGCTACGAAGTTGCGGTCTCTTCAGTTGTGATGTCCTTAGAGATAATACATATTTCCAGTGGACGATACTTCAAGAAGTACCGTGCCTTGTGATCTTTCAGAGACAATTCTTAGAAGCTCAGATGTCACGCTTGTCTAAAACTGGGACCAAATCCTAAAACCGATGCAACAAAATAAAACTCAGCATCAAACAAAATAAAAATCAACATTAAAACAAAACTCTGCACCTCATAATTTATTTTTATAAATCTCTGCACAGACATTTAAATAAAATTCGGCACTGCATGAACTTCTACAAATATTCTCCGCACTTCACAAAATTTTCATGATCTATGCATAAATAAATATCAGCAAAATTCTTCACGATCTTTGCATAAACAAATCTATTTTTTTTTTTCATATTCTCTGCATGAACCAAATTTCACCAAAATTTTCATAATCGCTGCATTCACGAAATCTCAACAATCGGGATAGGCTTCCGCCCTACTCCCTTCTCAGCAATCTGGATAGGCTTCCGCTCTACTTCATTCTAAGCAATTCTCAGCAATCGGGATAGGCTTCCGCTCTACTCCCTTCTCAGCAATCCAACAATCTGGATAGGCTTCCACCCTACTTCATTCTAAACAATTCTCAACAATTCGGGATGCTTCCGCGCTACTCCCTTCTCGGCAATTCTCAGCAATTCTCAACAATCGGGATAGGCTTCCGACCTACTCCCTTCTCAACAATTCTCAGCAATTCTCAACAAATCTCAGCAATTCTCAGCACTCGGAATAGGCTTCCGCCCTACTCCCTTCTCAACAATTCTCAACAATTTCAGTACTCGGGATAGGCTTCCGCTCTACTCCCTTCTCGGTAATCTCAGTACTCGGGATAGGCTTCCACCCTACTCCCTTCTCAGCACTCGACATTCGGAATGGGCCTTCGCTCTACTCCCTTTCTCAGCACAAAATCAAAATTGAAATTGAAATCAAAATTGAAATGTAAATTAAAATCAAAGTCCAAATTGAAATCAAAATAAAAAAAAAAAACAACAACAAAGCAAATCGAATCCACATTTAAAGAACTCAAATTCATCCAAGTTAAAATTCAATTGCTAATTCCCCAACGAAAATGATTCTCACTCAATTATACATTTTGTTATAAGTATGTAGGCTTAAACATCTGTGTTGGTTTTGTTAGTCTCTTCGGTCAACACCAATACGCGCGGTGTGTTTGTTCAACACACCACACCTATTGAGGTCCATTTGTTGACCTCATTTTTAGTGAGGTATAGTTTTTTTCTTTGGGTTTAGGGTTTAGCCTTAGGTTTCACCCTTTGAATATCTTACAACCTTAGAAATGAGACCCACCTTATTTTAGGAGTCCAATCTACTTCTTTACTCTTTTGGAGTTTCACATGTGTGGTATTAGCCTCTAGCGCTTAGGAGGTTGAAAACCAACATGAGGAAACCCAAAAGTTCCTATAGGACTATTAAGCCCTAGGATTGTCTTATGTACAATTTGCAATTCCATACGCACAAACTTCACAATTTGGACAGCCGACACGTTCGATTACCACAGTTCACATTGCCTGCACCGTTATTTGTCGAAAGGCTAAATAAAATTTTTAAAAACAATCGGTCGCGGATCATAATTTTGACGAGAATTGAATTCAATTCATTTTTCACTCTACCGTCGATGAGGGTGTCCAAACAACCTCGAATGACGAAACGGACATCGCCAATGTTTCCGGAATGCCAATTTTAGCTAGGAGGGATACCCATTTTGTTAGAGCGCCGCATACGAATAAATTATACAAAATTTAACATTTTTTTAAATAAAAAAAAAAGAAAAATCCTTGTTTTAAAATCCCTAAATCCCTAAACTCACGCAACCGTCTGTTTTTTTTGCCGTTCGCGGTCCTTCCCGCGCCCTAGCTCTTCGCGTCGCGCGTAACCCGTCCTTGAGCTTCCTCTCCCGCAAGCAGCCGCACCCGATTTCCTTTCGTCCCGTTCGCGATCCATATCGAACCCTAGAAGAACGGCCCGAGCGCTCCTCTCTTCTTCACGCGACTTCGACCCGAGGTCCCCTCCTCGTACGCCTGCCGCTCTGCCTAAAGCTTCTTCCCCATGACCTGCAAAAAACTTATATTATGCTTTCTTTTACAGTGTTGCACAATTTTATTGGTCGATACCATCGTAATGTTTTATATTTCAACATATCTCTAGCTGAGATATAATATGACAATGAGTTGGTTGAGATAGAAAGTAATGATGAAGATCCTAACATACATGCAGCATTTTGGGATGTAATTCATGAAATTGTTGTGCAATATGTAGTTTCCATCGACATGTGGGATGCACACAAATTTTAATTTATTACTGAAGCATTAATTTCATTTTTAGTTCATTCTCAAATAGGATATTACTTTCATTGGAAGCATTTAGCTAGAGGCATTGCACAACATGATAAATAACATCACATTACTAGTATTTGAAACAATGAGAGTGATGATATTTTTGCACTCTAACTAGGAACTGTAAGGAGAATGCCTAGTGGTGTTTGATGGTATTTTATTTTATTTTTTATTTTTAATGAATAGATCCTTTCGGCTTCAAATGGATTCAATATTTGCACCAAACATGATGGATCATATTGCCATGTAGCAAATTGTTTATCAGGATTTAACTCGATCTAACACTTGCCATGATAAACAGTAAATTGTTTATCAGGATTCAGTATTTTACTCTCACTGGTTTTATTTAATCCAGATTTACTGGGCTTACTAAATTATACCGAGTTAAATCACAGTGGAAGCCGAACAAACTCTTTATTTTTGGCAATATTTTAATTAGATTCCACATATAGCTTTCCATAATGCTGCTGGGAAATAGCTCAGTGTACTTTTTTTATCTTATGATCTTACATATGGGTTGCAGGTGCAAAATGGGAATACAGAAATTGCAGGAAATGCAAGGAATCACTGATTTGGGTATATTTGGGAAGGTGAAGAGAAGAAAGGGCAAAAGGTTAAATGATGGATGCAATCCAAATCCTCTCACAAATGACTCTAAAAATCAAAGAGGCAGCACCCATATTTTGGCAAAATTGGATATCAACAATGGGTCAAACCACGAGCGCTGTATTGGAACTGGGGACAACATGAAGGAGAAGAATGATACGTACAAAAAAATCAATGATTTAAGGCTCTTGGATGGACATAATATGGAAGATGACACCAATTATAAAAGTAGCAAGCATAATGAGAGTGAAAAGCTTACATCTTCAAAGAATTTCTTTGATGAAGGGATCCCTTGTTCAGAAAACAGGGCTATTGATGAGGGTTTTAAGGGAAGCAGGAAATATACAAACGAGCAGAATAGAGAAAAGAAAAGGAGGAAGCAAAATGGAACTGACTTCAACTCTTTAAAGAATGATTCTGCTGAAGGAGGGGAAACTTTTGAAGATGAGATTATATATGGAGGTCCCACGGGGAGTGAGAAGGATCTTAAAATGCAGAGGAAGAGAAATGAAAGTTTGAAGGAAACTGAAAATTCCACAACATCTACTGATAACTGTGGCTGGGATGAGGGTAAAGAGCAGGATAGGAAAAGAAGGAAAAAATATTTTCTAGAGCATGAACAGGGTCAGGATAATTCAAAGAAAATGTCCAAGGAAGCATCAGAGAAGGCATGTAAGGTTATTTCTGGAGGCGACGCTGAAGAGGTGCCGTTAAGAGCACATGTAAGGAATAAGGATAAAAAAAGGGGGAAGGAAAAGGGAGAAGTAGATAATTGTCCAGAATTAACTCCTGAAATGGCTGCAAGAAAAAACTATGTTGGAAAGAGCAAATTGGATGTGAACTCACTTAATATTGAAAAAGGTTGTAACACTGATGAACCGTATCATTGTGAACCAAAGAAAGATGTAAAAAAAGGTAAAAAAAAAGTAAGCTTTTCCGAAAATGTTGAGGAGTTTCCACCTGAGCAGTTTCATCATGAAAATTTGGGTCCGGATAATTTGGTGTGGGGCAAACGTTTCACTCCAGAGGAAGACGAATTGATTAGGAATGCTACCATGAAATACATAGAGGTTAGTTCTGTTAATCCAAGATCTAAATCATTGTTATTTATGTTTCTTCCTTCATTTAGACGTGCTCAATCTCTTAGATTTCTATTTCTGCTTTGTAGAATCTTATCGCCTTCTTTTCTGAAAATTTGCATGATGAATAGCTGCTTTTTGATTCTGTATAGAATTTGCATTTCCCATATGAATGAATTAGTGGAGTGGTTATTCTCTTTACATTTGTGCTTGAATATTGTTGGCTTTGTAAGATGCTATTCACAGTTGTTGGGATTAATTGAATGCAATTGAAGACTGAGGCCACCTCTCGTCTTCTTCTTCTTTTTTTTTGACCCCGACTCCTTGCTCCACCATGGATTATTTTTCTTTGCTTTTCCACGGAACTTGATTCTTCGTTAGAATCTTATTTCCCACTTCCAATTTCAAAACTGTGCAAACAAACTTATTACTTGTGCTTAGTTAAAAATTTTTCATCATTACATTGAAGCGACACCTCCAACGCAATTTTCTTTTTCTTGGTCTTCACAGGGTCGTATTACCTAAATTATCAAGATTATAACTAGGAATTTGATACCAGAGTTAATCCAAACCCCGACTCAAAAGACGAATATTTTATTGTTGAATTTTAGAAAGCGCAAGATGACAAGCATGTAAAACAGTAATACATAGTGCTACGACTCAGTAAGTAATAAAATAAGCAAGAAAAAGCATAGTAACAGTCCTTAACAGTTTTGGATGGTAATTGAAGGCCTGCGGGAAGGCTGGAGATGGGGGTTGACGATTGCTTGAAGAACGTTGGAGAAAACTTTAGTGCTGCAAATCGACAGAAGTGTGGAGGAGGGGGTGTGCAACTAGTTTGGAAGGCACTGGAGAGGTGAATTGTTGTGGAAAAACGAAGACGATAAAGCCAAAAATTGGAACGAGAAATTCACAAAATAAAAAACAAGCAGGACACAAATTTACGTGGTTTAGAAAATTGTCTACGTCCACGGAGTTGCAGAGGATTTTATTGCTTTGATGATTGCACCCGTCGATCGCCTCGGCGATTACAAGAAATCTCGATCTCTTTCTCTCCCTCTCTTCTCTCTCTCCTCTCTTGAGCCACGTGAGAAGAAGAAGCCAAGGGGAGAATAATACATGCAATTTTCTTTGCTGCCGTAAGCTTCAGCTGAAGGACCAAGGAGAGAGCAGGTTGGAGTTCGGTCGCAGAAGTAGAAGAGGCGAATCTGTCTTCTTCCTCAATACTTTCCTCCGTCTGCAACCTTTGCCAAAAATCCAATTGAAGAAGGAAGCTAAACTATTCACGCCAATCGTGAATTTTATATTTTTTTCCTGTCGTCACAGAAAGCACATTCCTTTTCGAGAAACAGGATGCGGGATGTGGGAGGAAGAAGCGGGAAGCTTAATTAAGAAGGAGATTAACGAGCAACGATTAATCAAGGAAACAAATAACAATAAGAGGAAACCAATAAAACATTTAATTAAAAGCAATTAAATGATTTCCATAGGTGTCGAGACTTGCAAAAGTGGACCGGTTTTCATATTCTCAACATGAACGGCCCGCTGGAAGGTGATGGGAAGCATATGGGGTGACTGTTGAGTGAAGTTGAGGGATCCTGTGGCCTCTTAAAGGACGCAGAAGGGTACACTGTAACAGGGACGGCGTAGGAGGGTGAACGACCGGTTGGGAGGTGCGATAGTGGGAGGGCGGAGGAACTTGAAGGGCTGCGGCCTGCTGGAGGAGGCTGGGATGTGCGACAGTGGGAGGGGGTGGCGCTGGACAGTGTGTGGCAACGAGATATAGTGGGGGAAATCACAACCTCAGGCGAGGTACATTCAAAGCACCGCTCGCCGCAATCCTCGAGAGTGAGATGCCATAGAGGCAAATCTGAAGCCAGAAATCAACATAAAAGTAAAATGATTAGACCTAAGAAAAAAAAACATGCATAAATAGAGGAAGAAGAGTGATAACAAAGGCAAGATCCTAAGAAAAAGAGGTGAAAAATGGTAGGGAGATTCGAGCAACGACTATGAGTGACGTGCAACGACTAGGAGCGGAGGAGAAATAGTGCACGGGAGACTCGAGCAAAGAAGGAAGTTTCACTTAAGTGAATTGGACTGGTCCGGTCCAGCACGAAGGCTGGACCGGCCTCCCTTCTCCGGTCCCGAGGGCTTAACAACCCTGCATGAGATTCTGCGCTTAACTTAGTTTCTGCTGGAGCACTGCAAAGTAACAATAGTCGTGAACCCTCAATACTAAGTTATCATTTGCTGACATTGAAAAACTGATTATCTTATGAAAATTTGTAAGAATGTGTGCCCTTGTTTCCTATTTTATCAGCAACTTTTATTGAGAGAAATATGGGAAATCCATTTATGAGGCCATTAAAATTCATAAATGGAAACATGTTGTTCTTGAAGAAATGCATGTGCTTGAGATGAATATGACTTGGAAAATCATGTAATTATCATTTCGAAAGAAACTAGTGGGATTTGGGGTTATTTTCAATCAAATATAGAGTGGATGTAAGCATAAAAAGATTCAAGGCTTATCTTGTGTCAAAATTAGAATTCTCTTTGTATGGTATTGACTATTAGGAGACCTTCTTCTAGTTGCTAAACTGAATGTTATTTTGTTGTTCTTTCTCATATCAATTAAATGTTAATAAAGCCTTTTCTTAATGGTAAACTTGAAGATGAAATATGCATGGAAATACTTTCTGGTTCCTTTTAATTTCCTGCTAACAAAAGTTTGCGCACTTCGGAACTCTTTTTATGGCCTGAAACAGTCTCTGCAGGCTTGATTTGATGAATTTATGTGTTAAAAATTATGAATACATATTAAATGTCAAAATGACCACACTTTGTTTATAAAGAGTTCTTTTGAAGGAAAGTTTGGAATCCTAGTCGTGTATGTAGCAATATTGTCTTTATTGGATATTTAATTGAAGAGGTAACTACTATCAAACTTCTCATAGCCAAAAATATTGTAGATAAAGACTTAAAAACATTAAATTCTTTGTAGAATTGGAGATAGCTTGATTTTTTAGGAGGATTATAAGCACTTGTATATTCTTAAGTTATTGAAAGAAACATAAATGTTGGCATTTAAATCAATAAATACTTTTATAGATCCTAATGTTAAAACAGGAGCAAAAGATGATGGTTTTCCTCGTGCGAGAAGTTTGGTGTCAAAAGTCTTATTAGTCATCTCTTAATAGACATGATATTTACTTTTCAATGAGCATGGCTAGTTAATTTATGAACCTACCTACTTGAAAATACCTGAATGTAGTGTTTTGATCCCTAAGATATTTAAAAATGACTTCATGAAAGGGATCACTTTTCTAGAAAATCATATAATGAAATATTGAAGTTTGCTAAAGTTGACTGAGTTTGGATCCATTTTTGACCATAGATTCACTTTGCATATTGTACATTCCTATGGGATAATCTCATGAGTTGAGGAATAAAAATAACTTGCTCTTACTAGCTGTAGTGTAGAGGAAAAATTTAGGAGTAATGTTGTTGAAAAGACTTCTCAATGAACTATTTATCTAAAAAATGAATTGAATAAATCATTAGGTGTTAATTAATATTTAATAAGTATTGCCAAAAACTTTGTTTATTATGATCAAACCAACCATGGTGAAGTTGGCCATTATTTTATAAAGGGAAACGTTAATATTATAATAGTTTTTATTCTTTACAAAGAAACAAAATTTTCCAACTTGCATACATTTTTGCTAATGCTCTTATGAAAAATTAAATTGACAACTTGATTTTTGGGATATGCATTAGGGCTATCAAAACAATTCGTTCGTGAACTGATTGTACTTGACTCATTAAGTAGCTCGTGTTCGACTCGTTTTGCTAGAAATAATTAAATTGTATATATATATATATATATATA